AACAGTAAATAAAACTGGTTTTAATCAAGTAGATTCCTTTGGAATCTGCTAGGGCTGGCTGGTTTTCTGTGTGAGTAATTAAAATTATTATTATTATATATTTATAGCAATTCAGTAAGGGACCTCGGAATAAACTAACACACATTAGTACAGCTTTTTTTTCCTCTTAGTTTTCAAGGGACAATTTATGACAAGACAATCTGCATCTTACATGTCAGCAATTAAACTTACCTAACAACTGCTTTGGGAGATTACGTTTGTCAGTAAATTCATCTGCTTCTTGGAGAAATTGTTTCCAAAGCATTCAAAAGCCTAAATTTTGATAAACACCATAAGTTTACACATCATGATGTGATGGAGGATTTATCAAGCTAAATTTAATTTCAAAATTGAATGGTATATCCACAATGAAACTTTTTTCTATGCATTTGTTACAAAACATAGTATTTTTTTTTCTATGCAAAAGTTACAAACATTGTAAAACGCTATTGAGCTCTAGAAATGAGCGCTATATTATAAATTCATGTTGCATTGTATTTGCAGTGAAATCAATGAACATGTTGAGAGCGGTGTTTAGAAGTCTTCGTAGGTTCAAAAGGGTTCTCTTTGGCTTTAAGATGGTGATGTCATGCCATTTTTTGAGGAAATGAAGATAGAAAAGAAAATGTTATTACCTTCTTTTGATATCTTCCTCTTGATTGTCGGATTCACCAGCGAAGATGGGAAAAACCAATGCAAAGCCGACACTTCAAAATGGCGGATGCCGTTCACGAATTACGCGATCTTGATTCCAAGTAACTATGGTTACTCGCGCAGTCCACGCGAATTCCGCGAACCTTGCTGGGGGGGCACTGGAGGCGAAAATCATTTTTGACCCAGGCCTTAATGAGGGAGACGTGGATCACAGAGATCTCAATCGAGTCACCGTCCCTAGTTACCTCTGGACAGCGGTTTGCTGTTATGCTTCAAGTACAACCAATCCCCAGAATGGGTTCTCATTTGCTTACATCGGCAAAAATATTGCTGACTCTTTCATGGACATTCTGAGCGCGAGTGAACTGGTTTCATTAGTTTATTAGTTTATTATTGGTTTCATTGGTTTTCATTCATTAGCCATGACCTCGCTGAAGATCGTTACGAAGCGGCCAAAAATTTTTGTTGATGACTGCAATGAAAATACGGCAAAATAAAAAACTACACGAGCTCAAGTTGTAGCTCCTGTGAACTTACGATTGGCAAATGCAGCAAATGAAATAAGAAGGTTGGAGCAGTCAGCTATTCCTCCAAAGAAACGCGAAGTCTTTCATGAGGTATTGGATTTGATTCAAAGCAGTGTATCTGCGAATGGTTATTCCCTTACTCCTGACAAGGAGAATATCTTTAACAATCAAACGCTTCCTTAGGTGGTAATCATTTCTTGTATTCTCTTGATCTTAATGTTTAAATCAAGAGTAATATCATAAGGAGATATCAGATGCTAGTCACTCTTGAGGGTCAATGGATAAATGAGGATTAATTCAGTTTAACTCCACGCGTCAATTTACGACTTCAAGACGTGAGCCAGAATTCGAAGTCAGTAATGCGTGAAAACATGCAAACAAACAAAACAAAAAAGAAACCCTATCGGCCATGATCTTTTAAAACAAAAGCGTTACTGCGTGATGATAGCCCAGTTTCTAAATATATTTAGCTTCAGTTCATAAGGTCACTCACGTACATCCTATTTTTCTTAGTACCCTCCTCCTCCCACCCACCCCCCAAAAGGTGAAACAGAAGCGAGGGAACGTTTACGCAAACCTGACACTAATCGTGTTCCGTGACGTCACTCTTTTGCAAGAAAACGTATGATTACTTTTTTTTTATTAGTAAACCCCTTTTGCCGATTCTTTCGTCAATTCTGATTGGCGAGAATTGGTAAGTTGTTGGCATACTAACGAACAAGGTGGTGTACAAAATGTCTTTATGGTCAACTTTTAAGACAACAGCGATCTGCCCAACTCAAAATCGAAGAATTCTGAGGAATTGATATTATAGTTTCAAATAACATTCAACCGTTCCTTCCAAATATTTAACACTCAGTTTTAAAATAGCCTGAAATTCAACCTTCCACCATAGAAGGCCATATCGCTAGAAAGAATGACTGCCGACCTGAGAGTATCCCCTTCTCACCTGCTCGGAATCCCGTCACATCTTGCCCCAGAGGAGGGGGTGATGTGTGTAAAAAAACCCCGCAGACCATTTTTTTCGACCGATAAATCTGAAAAGAGAATAGTTTGTGTTCCTACTAGCCGACGGCAATATCTAAAACTAAAGGCTCACTGATAGCTCCAGTGAATAAGATACTCACCATGACGATACCGGACGATAACCGATCGGCTTTGCTTTTCAAATCAGATTAGCTTCCGTTTTATTGGTCAGGGCCCATTTGTATAAAGGATGGATAACACTATCCAACGGATAAATCGCTACCCAGCAGATAAGTGATAGCAAAACGTATAGCGTTATCCACCGGATAGAAATTTTATCCTTTGAATAGTGTTATCTGACATTCAAACAACTGGGGCTAGGAAGTTATAGCTGACATCGATGTTTCTTTATAACATCCTACTCAACAATTCGTTGAAGGAGTATCTGCCATCGGTCTATCAAAACTTACTCAGTTTATCTAGATTTCGACACGTATGGGCGACCAAAAACTGTCCCATGTCTCCACAATTTTAGACGTGGGTTTACTAAAAAACGCACTAGCGATGAACGAAAAACTTCTGATGCTCGTCATATCAGGCGGAAATCGGTTCGCCATAGAGACAATACCTGATGTGTATCGCATTGTCGTTTCCAGCTCCTCTTCTCTTCTCGCCATGCTAGTGTGGGATATGGTGAGACCTTGGAAACCTTGTTGGGTGTTGTATTGAAAAAGTTAAATCAAAGCGTTGCAGCTCAATTCTCTGACAAAATGAACGCACAGGAAGCTCACTAATAAGTCTACTGTTAACGATATTTTGTTCACAAGAAAATCCTTACAACGTTACAATACTGGAAACAATTTTTCGAAGTATGGCAAAAAGTAGCAGTAGAAACTCCATCGGCCATATAATGACCACAGAATGCATCATTCTCAAATGTCCAAACATTAACCCTTTACACCCTAACATCAGTCTGTATATTCTCCTTACTGTTCTTTATACATTTCCTAAGGTGCTGATAAGGAGAATGTGTTTAATAATCAAAAGCTTCCCTAGTTGGTGATCATTTCTTGTATTCTCGTGACCTTAATGTGTAAATCAGGGGTGATATTGTAAGGAGAAATCAGATGCTGGTCACTCTTTGGGGTCAAAGGGTTTAAGAGGAATAGATCAGTTTTACTCCACACGTCAATTTACGACTTGAAAACTTAAGCGAGAATTCGAAGTCAGTAGTGCGTGAAAACATGCAAACAATTAAAACAAAAAAGAAACTCAAGCGTGACTGGGTGATGATAGCCCAGTTTCTAAATATAATTTATTTAGCTTCAGTTCATGAGGTCACGCACGTAAATCCTGTTTTCTTAGCCAGCGTTAAGTTGTACCCTCCACCCCCAAAACTGAAACGGAAGCGAGGGAACATCTACGCAAACCTGACACAAATCGTGTTACGTGGCGTCATTTTTTTGTGTGCAATAAAACATATAATTACTTTTCATTGGTTAACCCGAAGCTATGAAATAAAAGCTAGTTGTCTCTTGCAGCGATTCTTTCGGCTGAGAAAAGAGGTGCTCTTTCTTCACGCTTGCAGCGTAACAATCGGCTAAAAGAAATCTGTAAAAACCTTGATCTAATGGTCCAACTTTTTTCGACGACTGTAGCACTGTTTACAAATGCAAGCAGAAACCGCATGGACGTTAAAGTCTAGTTTCGCGAGAGCGATGCTAATCGAACATCGTCCTCTTCTTATTCTATACCAAAAATCGCTCATAATCTTTTCCTTTATCCTGAAAACAAAGTATATATTTGAACTTGGACGCTGAATTGCAAATTTACCCGAAAAAGGGAAATGAATTCACTTCAATGCTGTTGTTTATCTTGATAACCTTCACGTGCCACTTCGCAAAAAAATATTATCAAGCGACATTATTTTGCATAAACTGACATAATCTGACACAAGTGTCAGGTTTGCGTAAACGCGGTTACCTCGCTTCCGTTTAACCTTGCGGGGGAGGGTACGGCTACACGTAAGCTATGTTTTTCTCAGAATTTCAAACAATAGCTTTTACAGGCTGTGTTAACATGCAATTTTGTCGAACGCTGACAATGGAGTCGTTCTTGAGAAACCTCACCAAACAAGTTACTTGCTGAATTTGTCTCGAGACCTTCAAAGAATCGAAAATTATATCGTGTTTTCATACGTTTTGCTGTGAGTGTTTGGAAAAACACGCAAGAGTGAGCCAAAGACATGGAAAGTTTCGATGCCCCGAGTGTCAGGCAGAAATCCACCTGCCACAAGGAAATCGCTTCGAAGCGTTGCCAACCAGTTTTCTTCACAACAGTTTGTTGAATATCCTTGCCGTTCGACAAAGTGGCGATGGAACAAACATCACTTGTGGCAACTGTAACAAGACCAGCTCCAATGTCCATTACTGCTTTGATTGTGCTCGATTTATGTGCCCTGAATGTCTGAACGCACATGAAATTATGCGCGACGCATTCGAAGGACACAAAGTCATGCCTGTTAAAGACTTCCAAGATCAAGATTACGAGGCTTTGTTAAAGCGACAGCCCTTTTGCACCAGAAGTACCACGAGCGAGAGATGACGAGATTTTACTGCCTCCAGTGTCAATGTTGTGTTTGCCATCTTTGCATCGTCACGGAACATAAAAGCCATGAGGTTATTTTACTTGACGAAGCAGCTGACAACGAGAAAGGAAATATCATGGCAGATGTTTTAATGAGCCGAACAAGGGTAAAAGATTTAAAGGAAACACTTCAACAATTCCAAAACACAGCAAACAGCCTGCAAGAAAATGCCCGTGTCGCTAAACGCGGAGTTTCGCAAGAAGCCGAGCAGAAGATCGCAGAGATTCGAGAGCGCGAGCGACAAGCCATTGAATCAATCGACACAACGTGCGTTGCGAGACTCAAAAATCAACTCGGCTCGACAGGCAGTAGAATCTCTGATGAAGCAAAACAACAAAGTCGCCGACTTTGCCGAAAACTTGGTGCAGAAAAGCTCCAGCTGTGATATCATGCAAAACAAGCACAATTTAAAACAGAGATTTGAGGAGCTTCGAGGAATCCAAGCTGCACAACACCATCAGACCTCGTTCATCAAGTTTTACCCCACTCCTGCTGTAGGCTCCAACTTGGGCGACATTTCCACCGAAGACAAAGCAGACGCAAGTTGGTCCACTCTAGAGGGACTGGATCAAACTTTTCAGGCTGGTTTAGAGGCAAAGTTTATTTTATGCCCCAAAACACCTGATGGAGAAATCAGTAACCAGCCTGATCTCAAACAGCAAATTGAAGTTCTCATACAACCAGCCAAAGATGTCACACAAGTCACTGTTTGCAACACAGACAACGGGAGATTCGAGGTCAAATTTATACCCAAAGTACCCGGTGCTTACAGCATTGAAATGAAGATTAATGGAGATACACTCGCCAACTCTCCGTTCACTGTGGCGGTGAAGGAGCGTGAACTTATCGTGGTCGGTGAGTTGGATCTGGATTTATTAGAAGGAGATCAGGTCGGCCGTCTATTTGGAATCGCGGTAAATGCGATAGGGAATATTGCGGTAACTGACATTTGTAAAAACTGTGTTTACATATTCGATAAAAATGGTAAATGTCTGAGAAAAATTGGAGTTAAAGGGCAATTTAAAGACCCATGTGGCGTGACATATTTGAACGATGACGAGATTTTAATTACAGACACAGTTAACAGCAGAATACAACAAATTAATATCCAGACAGGAACTGTTGTGAAAACTTTAGGAAAAGCAAGCGTAGGAGAGGTTTATCGCCCATTGGATGTTTGTTTGGATAAAGAACGTCGCATTGTTGTAACCGAGTTTTCGATTGGTAGCATACAGGTGATGTCACGCGAGGGAGAGACTATTTCTATCTTTGGAAACATCGGCCCAGAAAAAATTAAACAACCCAAGGAGCTGTTTGCCTTACAAAAACAACTTTTTCGTCTCCGATAGCGGTGATCAATGCATCAAGGCTTTCGACAAGTCAGGAACATTCTTACACAAGTTTGGCAAACTAGGGAATCAAGATGGGCAATTTAACAACCCGAAATGTTTGCTTATAGACAGCTTCAATAATCTTCTGGTTTGTGATAAGTTCAATAATCGAGTTCAGCAGTTTTCTCTGGACGGTCGCTTCACCGGTAAAAAGTATCACTTATTTACCTTATCCTCGTGGAATAGCAGCAACACCAGATGGACGTATTCTCGTGACTACCACTAAAAAGATTTTCATATTAAAGTAGCTGTTTCAATAGACACTTATTTGCTTCGCAGGTTGTATTCTACTTCTAATGACCCGAACTGTTTCTTTCCTAAAGTGCAATAATCGGAGACTAGAATTTGTAAGTTTATTCTTCTTCTCGAAGAAGCTTTGTCAAATACAACTGAATTAATTAGCTTTGAGATTTTAAATTTGGTTTGCTGGTGGCGTTTATGCGTATTCGTAATAATGTAGCACGTGTAAATGTTAAAAGGATTCTGATTGTCAAAGAATATTTTGCCTTTAGTACGTCGCGTTCAATACATTATTTTCTTTCAATAACTAAAGCAGTATTTGCATATAAATTACCCTGTCTAAACATTAACCCTTTCCATCCCTAACACCAGCGTGCATTTTCTCCTTACTTTTCTTTATACATTTCCTAACGTGCTAACAAGGAGAATATGTTTAATAATCAAACGCTTCCCTAGTTGGTAATCATTTCTTGTATTCTCGTGTCCGTAATGTTTAAATCAGGGGTGATATTATAAGGAGAAATTAAATGTTAGTCACTCTTAAAGGTCGCAGAATTAATGAGGAACAGATCAGTTTAACTCCAAGCGTCAATTTACGACTTAAAATGTAAGTGAGAATTCGAAGTCAGTAATGTGTGAAAACATTTACCAACGGTTGCCTTGTTAGCTCAGTTGGTAGAGCGCTGCACCGGTATCGCAGAGGTCATGGGTTTAAATCCCGTACAGGCCTGAATTTTTTTTCTACTGCCCAAGTAGTGCACATTACTGCGAGGATCACTTTCATTCACATCTTTATCCGCAGTTCAAATATATGACTTTCATATATTCTTAACCGTATGAAAAGAAACCTTATCGGCCATGATCTTCTACAACAAAAGCGTGACTGCGTGATGATAGCCCAGTTTCTAAATATATTTAGCTTCAGTTCATAAGGTCACTCAACTACATCCTGTTTTTCTCGGAATTTCAAACAATAGCTTTTTCAAGCTGTGTTTACAAGCAATCTTGTCGAACGCTGACAATGGAGTCGTTCTTGAGAAATCTCACTAAACAGATTACTTGCTCGATTTGTCTCGAGACCTTCAAAGAACCTAAAATTATATCGTGTTTTCACACGTTTTGCTGTGATTGTTTGAAAAACACGCAAGAGTGAGCCAAAGGCATGGAAAATTTAGATGCCCCGAGTGTCAGGCAGAAATCCACTTACCAGAAAGAAATCGCTTCGAAGCGTTGCCAACCAGTTTCTTTCACAACAGTTTGTTGAATATCCTTGCCGTTCGACAAAGTGGCGATGGAAAAAACATCACTTGTAGCAATTGTAAGAGGACAAGCTCCAATGTCCATTACTGCTTTGATTGTGCCTCGATTCATGTGTTCTGAATGTCTGAACGCACATGAAATTATGCGCGCTCCTTTGAGGGACACAAAGTCATGCCTGTTAAAGACTTTCAAGATCAAGATTACGAGGCTTTGTTAAAGCGACAGCCCTTTTGCACCAAGAAGTACCACGAGCGAGAGATCACGAGATTTTACTGCCTCCAGTGTCAGTGTTGTGTTTGCCATCTTTGCATCGTCACGGATCATCAAAGTCACAAAGTTCAATTGCTCGACGAAGCGGCTGACAACGAGAAAGGAAACATCATGGCGGACGCCGCAGAGAGCCGAACAAGGGAAAAAGATTTAAAGGAAACGCTTCAACAATTCCAAAACACAGCAAACAGCCTGCAAGAAAATGCCCGCATCGCTAAACGAGGAGTCTCTCAAGTAGCCGAAAAGATGATCGCAGATATTCGAGAGCGCGAGCGGAAAGCCATTGAATCAATCGAGACAACGTGCGTCACGAGACTCCAAAAATCAATTCGACCCGACAGGCAATAGAATCTCTGATGAAACAAAACAACAAAGTTGCCGACTTTGCCGAAAACTTGATACAGAAAAGCTCGAGCTGGGACGTCATGCAAAACAAGCCAAATTTGAAACAGAGATTTGAGGAACTTCGAGGAATCCAAGCTGCACAACACCATCAGACCTCGTTCATCAAGTTTTACCCCACTCCTGCTGTGGGCTTCAACTTGGGCGACATCGCCACCGAAGACATAGCAGACGCAAGTCGGTCCACTCTAGAGGGACTGGATCAAACTTTTCAGGCTGGTTTAGAAGCAAACTTCATTCTATTCCCCAAAACACCTGATGGCGAAATAAGTAACCAGCCTAATCTCAAACAGCAAATTGAAGTTCTCATACAACCAGACAAAGATGTCACACAAGTCTCTGTTTGCAACACAGAAAACGGGAGATTAGAGGTGAAATTTATACCCAAAGTACCCGGCGCTTACAGCATTGAAATGAAGATTAATGGAGATACACTCGCCAACTCTCCGTTCACCGTGGCGGTGAAGGAGCGTGAACTTATTGTGGTCGGTGAGTTGGATCTGACTTTATTAGAAGGAGAACGGGTCGACGATTTATTTGGAATCGCGGTAAATACGATGGGGAATATTGCCGTAACTGACAATGGTAAAAACTGTGTTTACATATTCGATAAAAATGGTCAATGTCTGAGAAAAATTGGACTTGAGCAATTTCGAGACCCACTTGGCGTGACATATTTGAACGATGACGAGATTTTGATTGCAGACGCTGGTAACGGTGGAATACAACAAATTAATATCCAAACAGGAACTGTCGTGAAAACTTTAGAAAGAGCAGGTGTAGGAAAAAAAAGTGATTGATGTTCCTTGGGATGTTTGTTTGGATGAAGAACGTCGCATTATTGTAACCAAATTTTGAAAAGTAGGATACAGGTGATGTCACCTGAGGGAGAGACTATTTCCATCTTTGGAAACATCGGCCCAGAAAAATTAAACAAGTCAAAGAGCTGCTTCCCTTACAAAGACAAGTTTTTCATATCCGATAGCGGAAATCATTGCATTAAGGCTTTCGACAAGTCGGGAACATTCTTACACAAGTTTGGCAAACAGGGCAATCAAGATGGACAATTTGACAACCCATATGGTTTGCTTATAGACAGGTCCCATTGCCTTTTGGTGTGTGATCAGTTCAATCATCGAGTTCAGCAGTTTTCTCTGGACGGTCGCTTCACTGGAAAAAGTATCACTCATTTAAGTAATCCTCGTGGAATAGCAGCAACACCAGATGGACGTATTCTCGTGACTACCCCTAAAAAGATTTTCATATTAAAGTAGCGGTTTCAGTAGACACTTATTAACTTTGCAGTTTGTATTCTACTTCTAATGGTCCGAACGTTTTCTTTCCTTAAGTGCAATAATCGGAGACTGCAATTTGTAAGTTTATTCTTCTTCTCGAAGAAACTTTATCGAATACAACTGAACTAATTAGCTTCGAGATTTTCAATTTTGTATGTTAGTGGCATTTATGCATATTCGTAATAATGTAGCAAAGGAAAATATTATAGGATTGTGATTGTTAAAGAATATTTTGCACTAAATACGTTGCATTATGAACATTATTTCCATTCGATAACTTAACAGTAATTACATATATATTGCTTTCTTCTACAAGAAAGGGTGACACGTGTCACACTGAAATAGACGAGTGCCATGTGACATCCAGTTCTTTTTAAGATCTCGCCCCTTAAAAAAATAAATAAACACACAGACACAAAACAACCACTTTATGCGATTGCGTGACTTTATAAGGTTAACCCTTTAACTCCCAAGATCTGACTGTTAATTCTCCTCTCTTGCTGCTACACATTTCCTTGTAAATATGCAACAAGGGTTTGGTGTTATAATGTGGATCACGATAACAATTTCTATCTGATAAGTTTGAATATTCTCATCACCTGTTTGCTGGATAATTTTTAGATATTATAGTGAGAAGTTACATGTGAATCACTTCCGGGTTAAAGAATAACTTTTTTACAATTCTAATTGTCTTCTTACTTGAAGGTGCTTGTAAGACTGTTCTTTATTGTTCTTCCCATTGCTGTAGTGAGAGAGGGATTGAGAGAGGATGTTTTTGAGACATCAAAATATGCCTTTATTTGGCAGATGGACATCAGTGAAAATAGATGCAAATAAATCAAGACATATTCAACATATTCGAATGTGCTCTGTTTTGTCGTAAAGCACATAGGAAGCGGCTAGAGCACGAAAGAAGTGTAGAGGCAAATCCGAGACGTAGTCGAGTGTCTCAACTTCTTGAGTGCAACTGAGAGTATGATCTGCTGGTCTTATTCAATCAATCAGATTATTCTGTTAATTAAAAGCTTTCAAAAATGTTCAACCATCAGCAAGGTTGATCTAATGCGAATTACAGAATTCTAGAAAAATGTGAGCGCAGCGCATTTATATTACTTGTTCACCAATCGAACAGTGTTCCACTGTGAAAAAGTATTCCTGTTCTCGTTCGGTGGTTCCACCAACAGAAAATAAACCAATGTTCAACTAATTCAGTGAAATTAACTTGACCAAGATTTTATTTCAAAAAAATTTATGATTTTAGCTATAGCCAGACTTTTTGTTTTTCTCTTAACAGCTCCTGGTAGCCGCTGACACCAGATCTAAGACAAATATGGAGACAGCTTCCCAGCTAAATGAACGCTACAAGACTGTACAGCCGATAAACGTAGACTACTGTAACACAGGTTAAGACAGGGGTCACCTCAATCCAAACTTCTATCAATGTGGAAAAGGAAGAACAGCAACTTTTACCTTGACAAATGCCGTTTCAAGATCCCTGCTTTAACCAGCAGTCGTGGAAGAAAATGGAAGAGGTCGCTTTGAAAACAATGAGGAAAGATTGCTCTTTTCCCGGCGCCAGACGTTATTTTATGACGGGAATTGTTTAGCAGGGAGTACGAATTCCAAACAGAGAACATGACCTGGAAGGCTCAGGTTAATTAAGGCCTGGGTCACCCTGTCTTTAACCCATATTTTCACAAAATTGAGAATAACTTAGCTATTTTGCGAGGGATTTTTCTCATACTTGGCAGAAATGTGTATCACTACCCTCTCTCTCGGACTGAATTGTGGCAGCGTAATATGATACTCTCAACAGCCAAAAACAGTTAATTTAGGCGCCAAATTCGTCGGTTGCTTTCTTGAGCAAATTCCCACCATTAAACACGAGGCAAATCAAAATGCAGTTATCGCTATGAATATTTGAGACGTTTTTCATTGTTTTCCCACTTGGAATGGCTGCAAAAAAAAAGAGAGATGTGCTAGGCAGATTAAATCAAGTTTTGTCTCTGCGAAGCTGCTTCCTCTATCATGGTTTTCGCCCGAAAACATCTTAGCCTTTACCTGGTTCCAACCGCTATCAACGAAAGTAATCCCACAGGTTCCTATTTATTTGGAAAAAAGACAAATTAAAACTGTTTAAGAGGTGGGAATTTTGAAAACTCGCAGTCACGTAATTCAACTTAGTGTCCGCCATTTTGACACGCGAGTCACGCGAGTGTTCAGAAGCAATAATTTAACGGCTGATACACTACCAAATACTAATTGGAGCAATCTCAGAAGTAATACAGGCAAACTTTGTATACTTTTGGTGATATTTATTTCTTTTTCTCGTTTTCTGAGGTCGATTGCATCTCTGTAAATCCAAGGTTAGATCGCCTTTGACAGTTCTAATAAAACACAATTGCAATTTTGGCGCAAAACTTGAAAGTTATCGCACTGATTCCTTGAAACTCTTCAAGGTTTTGTTCCCTAACAACGGTACTACTCGATAACGAGCTAAGTGTATTCGTGTGAAACGAAAATGTCTGTCATTTTTAATTGTGCGGGATTTGCAAGAGTTGCTGTAAAGGAGAGCTTTCGTAAGGTTGGAAGTGCTTCGGTTGAAACTAACCCTAGTGAAAAGTGGAAGAACTATCTTGCAGCGTTCGAGGGTGACAGTCAGGAAGTCTTTGCGGTCGAACGTTCCACCTACGTCAAGAAATCCAAAGCAATTTACAGCTCTTTCCGAAAGATGAACTCAAAAGCCAGGGCCCAGTACCAAGACACGTTTTCAATGGTAAACTGGAAAGCGCTTAATACAGCGCAGAAGAAACAGCACACACTGTCAAATTGTGGAGGTTGTCAAGTGCACTATTATGCCATCCATAATTTTTTCCCAAGTGGAGAAACTTTCAAAACCCGAAAACTTTTAAAAGAGGCCCTTATTGAAAGTGGGGTGAAGACACAAAGTAAAGTGAAACCAACGCAAAAAGCCATTAAAACTGCTGTAAAACACATTTATTCAAAAGTGAATGGCCACTTTGAGAAAATATTTAAAATAAGCCTTGCTGAAGCACAAACAAAAGTGAAGGAACTTCAGCTCCAAAAAAAGAAAGAGGCAATTGAGAAAAAGCGGCAGCGTCGAGGGAGAGCACGCCAAGGAAAAAATAAAATCCAATGCTAATGTCTAGTCCATCTGGAGGAGGAGTAATGTTTCTACTTACTTTGCAGTAATTTGCATGCCAAACAATGAGATCAACAATCTTCACCTTTACTTGTGTTGCAATCTAGCATTTATTTAAGCACACTCTCTATAATATATTTGCCTTCATTTTCCAGTTTTTTAAAAGGAATGCAAGTACCAAATAATCCACTGTAAACTTAATCAATCATACTGAACTTCTTCCAACCAATGAAGAGAATATAATACTGGGAGAAGGATCCTATGGTCGATGCCTTCTGAGACAGTACACACGATTTGATATGAAGGTTGTGGAAAAACAGTCTCTGATGCAGGACACCACAGAGATAATGAAGGAGGCTCACATTATGCAGGCACTCGCACATAAAAATATCCCAACCATAATAGGTGTGCAGCTTCAAAAGCAGCCCATTTCCTTAATAATGGAGTTTAAAGGGGAAGAAAATACATCTGTAACAATAAGCAAACTATTATCTTGTCAGAAAAACAGTGCAACAATACAGAATGTGCAAAGCTCACTCATAACAAATGACTGGTTAATTATTTCACATGATTTGACAGAAGCCCTTTCACATATTCACACAAAAGGCTTTCTTCACTGTGATTTGAAGGCTAATAATTTTCTTGTGAGTAACAAACATGGCTACATCATCAATTTTGGAAAAGCTTGTGACAGCTCCTTTCCTCCTGCAAAGAATTAATGAAGCCAGTGATATTTTCTCCCTTGGTAAAATTCTGTTGAAAGTAGGTGTTAAGCAAAACATTCCACTTTTGGTTTCCATGGCTCAAGAATGTTTGGATGCCAGCCCTGTAAGAAGACCAACAACAACAGGCATTATGGCAACACTGGCTTTCATAATATCTCACTGAATACATACAATACTTGCTCCTTACTTAAAATACATGCATGGTTTTTCGCGATACTTAAATGTCGGCGATATAACTAACACAGGATCAATCGAAAAGGATAAATTTGGATCCGAGAATTCGAAGTTGTTCGCAAACTTAAAACGGCTAGAATTTCATTTATTTGGTAGCACAAGCGCCGCGACTTGTGATGAATTTCGAGACATGCGGCACGTAAACACAAAATCGATCGACCAAAAAAAAAAAAAAAAAAAAAGTTTGGGATACAGGTGAACGAGAATTTCGAAAGTATTCACAAATTACAGGTTGTAAAATGAAATCGCTTGACTCTTAGTTTTTTTTTTTTTTTTTTTTTTTTTTTTATCAGGAACAGATCTTTGGATAACGCTTGTTATCGGGAATACACAGACGCCGTGGAGATGCTAAGGCGAATGTGACAAAAAAGTCGGCTTTGTTTGGACCTCTTGTTATGCAAAATGGTTTTAAAGTGTGATCTACTAATGAGCTTCACTAAACGCGTTTGCGTTTGCGTGGACACGCAAACGCAAACGCGTTAAGTTCAAAACGCCAACGCGTTGGCTCTGCGTGGGGAACGCGTTGAGTGGTTCGCTTATCTTCGAACGGTACTGTATAAGATTAAGCAGGGGTTTCACGGGCCTGACACTGGGCAAATTGACTGGCTGGGAGCATAATTTTTTCCTGCATGTTGTGACTGACATAAATCAGAATCAAAACATATTTTGCCTGCTTCCTTGTACATTTCCCATCACCTCAAAATCTTAATGAAACCTCTGCTTAAGAAAGTAATAATTAACACTCTAATCAGGTAAAGTGACCCTAGCCATGTCACGGCAGGAGTCTTTTTATTGGGCTTTGCAAGGTTAAAATTATAATGCATGTGCATGTCTTCAGCAAGTTTGTGTGCTCTTGGTCCAAACTAATTTTGTACTTCTGCTTTACGAATTGTGAATGAATGTTAGAGGGACATTTTTAATAATGCACAGATAAGGTGCTCTAGGGTCCATCAGGTACAAATTACTTCATAGGTCATACTCATGTCTATAATTTTACATCCCTGCTAGATAACATACATGTACCGATTTATTTCCCAATTCCTGCCAATTATTGATCTATGAAATTGAATTTAGGCAAGCAACTGGCAGATCAAACTTTAAATTATAAACCAGAGTTTTAACCAGTTAGGCCACCATAGCCTTCTAACAGGAATATTGACTTGGAAGAGCAAAAAAAAGCAAGAAATACAATTTTAAAATTTTCCTTCCTTTCTGCCTGCAGTTGTCCCACTGAACTTATTTCCAGCTATTTAGACAAAATTATGGCACCTATCGTCAAAACTCTACCGTCTTACATTAAGGACAGCCAACACGCACTTGAAATTTTTCGTGACTTTAGTTTCCTCGATCAAAACAAACTTATTTTCACCATGGATATAACATCTCTTTACACTGTCATTCCCAATGACGAAGGTCTCCGGGCCCTCAAACATTTTTTTGATCTACGTACTGTTAAAGAACCTAGCTCTGAAACACTGCTCCGTCTGGCCGAACTAGTACTCACACTCAATTGTTTTTCATTCGGTGGTAACTACTACAAACAAACTAATGGCGTGGCCATGGGTACTAAAATGGGACCCAGCTACGCCAATCTTTTTGTAGGTTTTATCGAACACCAATTTTTAGCCAATACCACGGCCCAAAACCTCAACTCTACGGCCGCTACACTGACGATTGCATCGGCGCTACCTCCTCTACCAAGGAGGAGCTCACTCAATTTATAACCGCCGTCAATTCCTTTCATCCGGCTCTTAAATATACCTGGCAAATTTCCGACACTTCTTTGGCTTTTCTAGACATCAAAATTTCAATTGAAGGCAACGGCTTATGTACTAGTGTTTACTACAAACCTACAGATTCACATAGTTACTTGTTGTATTCATCCTCACATCCATCACACGTCAAGAACTCCATACCTTTTTCACAGTTTCTCAGACTTCGTCGTTTTGTAGTGACGACTCTGATTTTTCCGAAAAATCAGAGTCAATGTGCCAGTTTTTCGATAAACGCGGCTATCCTGTTTCTGTCGTTCAAGCGGGCTACCACCGTGCCCAACTTATCGATCGACAGGCAGCACTACAAACGGCCGAGAAGGAGAACACTGACCGCATTCCATTTACTCTTACATTTCACCCTCACAACCACGCAGTTAAATCTATCATTCTTAAAAATTTTAAATTACTCCAAAACGATTCAGAGACTGGCACTATCTTTTCGCAACCCCCACTTATTTCATTCAAACGCGACAAAAACATAAGCAACTTCTTAGTCAGGAGTTCATTTCAAACCTATGACCAATCTGGAACTTTTAAATGCGCTCGTTCACGATGCAAAACTTGTCCTTTCATTCATAACGTAGAGAAAATATCGGGACCCAAAAGATCCATTAAGATCATTGATCACTTTACGTGTACCTCCGCCAATGTTATTTACTGCATAACTTGCACTTATTGCAATAAGTTATACATCGGCGAAACAGGAAGACGACTGGGTGACCGATTCCGAGAACACCTTCGCGATGTGGAAAGAAATGACAAGGACGCATCCAAACCAGTCGCTAGACACTTTAATCTTCCTTATCATTCTAAACAGCATATGGCAGTTTGCGGCCTTTCCTTACATCTAGGCAGTTCGGAAAGCCGTAAAACACTAGAACAAAAATTTATATTCCAAATCGGCACCCTTAATCCCCACGGAATCAACGAGCGCTTTTCATTCAACTAATTTATTCCTGTTTTCTCGTCACCACATTCCCACCAATGGCGTAGCTCCACTTCCTACATATAAATCCACACACAAACCACAATTCCTCCAATCGCTCTGACGAAGGGCTAACGCTCGAAACGTCAGCTTTTTTTACCCTTTACGGTGGCTAATTTACGTTTTCAACCCAGTTGTTAACATTAAATTACCTGCTATACTCTCCCACCGACGCAGCACCACAGTTTCTTTTAGAAACTTAACCCTTTATTCATTTTTCTTTATAACATCCTACTCAACAATTCGTTGAAGGAGTATCTGCCATCGGTCTATTAAAACTTACTCAGTTTATCTAGATTTCGACACGTATGGGCGACCAAAAACTGTCCCATGTCTCTACAATTTTAGACGTGGGTTTACTAAAAAACGCACTAGAGATGAACGAAAAACTTCTGATGCTCCTCATATCAGGCGGAAATCGGTTCGCCATAGAGACAATACCTGATGTGTATCGCATCGTCGTTTCCAGCTCCTTTCCTCTATTCGCCATGCTAGTGTGGGATATGGTGAGACTTTGGAAACCATGTTGGGTATTGTATTGTAAAAGTTAAATCAAAGCGTTGCAGCTCAATTCTCTGACAAAATGAACGCACAGGAAGCTCACTAGTAAGTCTACTGTTAACGATATTTTGCTCACAAGAAAATCCTTACAACGTTATAACACTGGAAACAATTTTTCGAAGTACGGCAAAAGTAGCAGTAGAAACTCCATCGGCCATATAATGACCACAGAATGCATCATTCTCAAATGTCCAAACATTAACCCTTTACACCCTAACATCAGTCTGTATATTCTCCTTACTGTTCTTTATACATTTCCTAAGGTGCTGATAAGGAGAATATGTTTAATAATCAAAAGCTTCCCTGATTGGTGATCACTTCTTGTATTCTCGTGACCTTAATGTATAAATCAGTGGTGATATTGTAAGGAGAAATCAGATGCTGGTCACTCTTTGGGGTCAAAGGGTTTAAGAGGAATAGATCAGTTTTACTCCACACGTCAATTTACGACTTGAAAACTTAAGCGAGAATTCGAAGTCAGTAGTGCGTGAAAACATGCAAACAAACAACAAACGAACAAGATGTTAAACAAAATGCTTTCATAGTCAACTTTTCAGACAACAGCTCTCACAGAAGACCGAGTGCACTATCTCAATGTACTTGGGCAAAGAGGCTTGTCCGCCTTCAACTTTCGGTCTCTTTGCGAACGGTGCTACGAAGCTATGAAATAGGAGCTAGATGTCTCTTGTAGCGATTCTTTCGGCTGAGAAAAGAGATGCTCTTTCTTCACGCTTGCAGCGTAACAATCGGCTTAAAGAAATCTGTAAAAACCTTGATCCAATGGTCCAACTTTTTTCGACGACTGTAGCACTGTTTACAAATGCAAGCAGAAACTGCGTGGACGTTAAAGTCTAGTTTTGCGAGAGCGATGCTAATCGAACATCGTCCTCTTCTTATTCTATACCAAAAATCGCTCATAATCTTTTCCTCTATCCTGAAAACAAAGTTTATATTTGAACTTGGACGCTGAATTGCAAATTTACCCGAAAAAGGGAAATGAATTCACTTCAATGCTGTTGTTTATCTTGATAACCTTCACGTGCCACTTCGCAAAAAAATATTATCAAGCGACATTATTTTGCATAAACTGACATAATCTGACACAAGTGTCAGGTTTGCGTAAACGCGGTTACCTCGCTTCCGTTTAACCTTGCGGGGGAGGGTACGGCTACACGTAAGCTATGTTTTTCTCAGAATTTCAAACAATAGCTTTTACAGGCTGTGTTTACATACAATTTTGTCGAACGCTGACAATGGAGTCCTTCTTGAGAAATCTTACCAGACAAATTACTTGCTCGATTTGTCTCGAGACCTTCAAAGAACCGAAAATTATATCGCGTTTTCACACGTTTTGCTGTGAGTGTTTGGAAAAACACGCAAGAGTGAGCCAAAGGCATGGAAAATTTAGATGCCCGAGTGTCAGGCAGAAATCCACTTACCAGAGGGAAATCGCTTCGAAGCGCTGCCAACCAGTTTTTTTCACAACAGTTTGTTGAATATCCTTGCCGTTCGACAAAGTGGCGATGAAAAAAACATCACTTGTGGCAACTGTAAGAGGATAAGTTCCAATGTCCATTACTGCTTTGAATGTGCTCGATTCATGTGCTCTGAATGTCTGAACGCACATGAAATTATGCGCGATGCATTCGAGGGACACAAAGTCATGCCTGTTAAAGACTTCCAAGATCAAGATTACGAGGCTTTGTTAAAGCGACAGCCCTTTTGCACCAAGAAGTACCACGAGGGAGAGATCACGAGATTTTACTGCCTCCAGTGTCAGTGTTGTGTTTGCCATCTTTGCATCGTCACGGATCATCAAAGTCACAAAGTTATATTGCTCGACGAAGCGGCTGACAACGAGAAAGAAAACATCATGGCGGATGCCGCAGAGAGCCGAACAAGGGAAAAAGATTTAAAGGAAACGCTTCAACAATTCCAAAACACAGCAAACAGCCTGCAAGAAAATGTCCGTGTCGCTAAACGAGGAGTCTCTCAAGTAGCCGAAAAGATGATCGCACAGATTCGAGAGCGCGAGCGGAAAGCCATTGAATCAATCGAGACAACGTGCGTGACGAGACTCCAAAAAATCAATTCGACCCGACAGGCAATAGAATCTCTGATGAAACAAAACAACAAAGTTGCCGACTTTGCCGAAAACTTGATACAGAAAAGCTCGAGCTGGGACGTCATGCAAAACAAGCCAAGTTTGAAGCAGAGATTTGAGGAACTTCGAGGAATCCAAGCTGCACAACACCATCAGACCTCGTTCATCAAGTTTTACCCCACTCCTGCTGTGGGCTTCAACTTGGGCGACATCGCCACCGAAGACATAGCAGACGCTAGTCGGTCCACTCTAGAGGTACTGGATCAAACTTTTCAGGCTGGTTTAGAAGCAAAGTTCATTTTATCCCCCAAAACACCTGATGTAGAAATAAGTAACCAGACTGATCTCAAACAGCAAATTGAAGTTCTCATACAACCAGACAAAGATGTCACACAAGTCACTGTTTGCAACACAGAAAACGGTAGATTCGAGGTGAAATTTATACCCAAAGTACCCGGTGCTTACAGTATTGAAGTGAAGATTAATGGAGATACACTCGCCAACTCTCCGTTCACTGTGGCGGTGAAGGAGCGTGAACTTACTGTGGTCGGTGAGTTGGATCTGAATTTATTAGAAGGAGAACGGATCAACAATCTATTTGGAATCGCGGTAAATACGAAAGGGAATATTGCCGTAACTGACTGTCATAAACACTGTGTTTACATATTCGATAAAAATGGTAAATGTCTGAGAAAAATTGGAGATAAAGGGCAATTTAAATACCCACTTGGCGTGACATATTTGAAAGATGACGAGATTTTGATTGCAGACACAAATAACAACAGAATACAACAAATTAATATCCAGACAGGAACTGTTGTGAAAACTTTCGGAAAAGAAGGTGAAGGAACAAGAGAGTTCAATCTCCCAACTGATGTTTGTTTGGATGAAGAACGTCGCATTGTTGTGACCGAGATTTCGAGTAATAGGGTACAAGTATTGTCACGTGAGGAAGAGACTATTTCCATCTTTGGAAACATCGGCCAAGAAAAATTAGAACAACCGTGGAGGTGCCTGCCTTACAAAAACAAGTTTTTTGTCTCCGATGGCGGAAATCATTGCATTAAGGCTTTCGATATGTCAGGAACATTCTTACACAAGTTTGGCAAACAAGGCAATCAAGATGCACAATTTAACTACCCGGGTGGTTTGCTAATAGACAGCTCCAATAATCTTCTCGTGTGTGATCGGTTTAATCATCGAGTTCAGCAGTTTTCTCTGGACGGTCGCTTCACTGGTAAAAGTATCACTTATTTACCTTATCCTCATGGAATAGCAGCAACACCAGATGGACGTATTCTCGTGACTACCGCTAAAAAGATTTTCATATTAAAGTAGCTGTTTCAATAGACACTTATTTACTTCACAGTTTGTATTCTACTTCTAATGACCCGAACTGTTTCTTTCCTAATGTGCAATAATCGGAAACTGGAATTTGTAGAAGCTTCATCAAATACAACTGAACTACTCTGCTTTGACATTTCAATTTTGCATACTTGTGGCGTTTATGCATATTTGTAATAACGTAGCCCACGTAACATTATAGGATTGTGATTGTCAAGGAATATTTTGCACTAAATACGTCGCGTTAAATACGTTATTTTCTTTCGATAACATAGCAGTAATTGCATATATATTACTTTCTTCTACTAGAGAGAGCGATACGTACCAGGTGCTGAAATAGACAAGTACTGTGTGACATTCAGCTCTTGTAAGACCTCGCTCCCAAAAAAAAAAAGAAAAGAAAAAGGAAAAACAACCGCGTTATGCAATTGCGTGATTTTATAAGGTTAACCCTTTAACTCCGAGATCTGATTGTTAATTCTCCCCTCTAGCTGCTACACATTTCCTTGTAAATAAGTTACAAGCGTTTGGTGTTAGATCACGATAACAATTTCTATCTGATGAGTTTGAATATTCACATAACCTGTTTGCTGGATAATGTCTAGATATTATAGTGAGAAGTTACATGTGAATCACTTCCGGGAGTTAAAGGGTTAAAGGATAACTTTTTTACAATTCTAATTGTCTTCTTACTTGAAGGTGCTTGTAAGACTGTTCTTTATTGTTCTTCCCATTATTGTAGTGAAAGAGAGGGATTGGAAAGAGAATGTTTCTGAGACATCAAAATCTGCCTTTATTTGGCAGATGGACATCAGTGAAAATAGATGCAAATAAATCAAAACATATTCAACGTATTCGAATGTGCTCTGTTCTGTAGTAAAGCAAATAGGAAGCAGCTAGAGCACGAAAGAAGTGTAGAGGGAAACACGAGACGTAGTGGAGTGTCTTTCCCTACTTCTTGAGAGCAACTGAGAGTATAATCTGATCGGTGGAAGAGGACCACAGAATATTCTCTTAATTAAAAGCTTTCAAAAGTGTCCAACCATCAAAGTTTACAATATGTAATAGTCCATAAACTAAAATAGTTCGGCAGGTTGTATTCAACACTTCTGCCTGAAGTTTTTTAGTCTTGATAAAGAGTCTGAAAGTGAAATGTTCGGTGAAATCCGGCTGAATTGTGGCTCATATCAATAGTTTCTTCGCATGACAATTAGAAACAAACTGCCTAAGGCGTGTGTTTTATGAATGAACGACAACATGAAGACTCCTTGGGTTGAGAGCACCGTAAAACGCGGCTTCTGTAACTGATGTGGCCTTCCACTTAACGTATTGGAAAGGATATATGAAGGACTGGGGTTTTCGGATATCAAAACCATGACAAATGGCAGTTGTAAAAATTAAATTTTTTTAGTTATTTTTTTCAAAACAGGCAGACGCCAAAGCGGACAAAATTTAGCCAAATGGGAGCGAGGTTGATTTAATGCGAATTACACTGAGATGATGCCAATGTTGTTACTGTTGGGCGATGTTGAAGTCGAATAAACATTGCCTTGTTCAAATAAAGTACAATCCCACTAACATGGCTCTAAGGCTATGGAGAATGACAAAAAGAAATAAATTATTAATTCCTCAACCTCGATGTGCTTCCTTTGTGTTATTCGCCCAAGCCTCGGAGCCAAGTTTGAATTTTAATATATCGAAAATGGCTTATGAATGGAAAGACATGAATTAATTTTCACACTGAACAGTTAGTCAAATAGGAGTCACAGGCAAACTTTCTTAATGAAGGGGTGAGTTGAATAACTTGAAATTTAAAAGCCGCCCTAGCCACGATCACTTGGAATTGTCCTTCTTGACTGAATATGAAACATTCTGATGACAGACATAGTTTGAAGCTACACTGGTTTGCAGATTTAATGAATGTAACCGAAGAAGTTACAATTCATAGACCCAACGTTTCGACACTCCTGTCTAGTGCCTTCATCAGGGGTGATCTAAACGCTGCAACAAGAGGTCCTTTTATATGATCACTAATTAGCGGCCTTTTTTCTGACGAGGTGTAAATAGGCGTCAGGAAGTAGACCGCCATCGTCACGATTTAAAGGAGCGTGGGCGGAGTTAATGTGCCAAGCCTCCAAACAAAGGCGCTGGTGGTAACGCCGATTAGTGGTGATAATTTTAGCTCCTCTTGTCGCATTTGAATTCAGTAGAGCCGTCGATCCAATTCACCCTTGAACGTGAAAAGGATATACATTTGCCCTTTCTTGATTTAAGTGTGTCCAGAGGGGTTCAGGGTAATTTAGAGACAAGTGTCTACCGTAAACCCACCCACACCGACAAATACCTCGCTTTCGATTCTCACCATCCTATTTGTCATAAGAAGTCTGTAGCCAAAACTTTACTTAGGAGGGCTGATTGTCTACCATCATCACTCGATTCGAAGGCTGAGGAGAGGAAATATGTTTCCAATGTCCTAAAGGCAAATGGCTATACAAAAACTTTTCTCCGTAACTGCCAAAAACCAGTTACAAATAGTAACGCTCTTGATGAAAGGGAACCAGCGACTGGTTTTGCTGTTATTCCTTACATACAGGGTGTTACTGAACCCATCAAGAGAATTTTGAATAGCCACAACGTTAAAGTTGCTCAAAAACCTTTTCAGACCTTGGGGCATATTTTCGCCAAACCTAAGGATCCTGTCACGAAAGAACAACGAACCGACGCCATTTATTCTATTCCTTGCAATGACTGTGACAACGAATACATCGGACAGACCAAACGCCAGTTTGGTACACGGTTAAAAGAGCACCAAAAAGCGGTTTTTCTTAGCAAAAAGGAAAATTCAGCTTTATCGGAGCATACTTGCCTAACCAACCATACACATTAACTCCGCCCACGCTCCTTTAAATCGTGACGATGGCGGTCTACTTCCTGACGCCTATTTACACCTCGTCAGAAAAAAGGCCGCTAATTAGTGATCATATAAAAGGACCTCTTGTTGCAGCGTTTAGATCACCCCTGATGAAGGCACTAGACAGGAGTGTCGAAACCTTGGGTCTATGAATTGTAACTTCTTCGGTTACATTCATTAAATCTGCAAACCAGTGTAGCTTCAAATCAAAGCTTCCATTTGTGTTCCCAGTGCTACGCCGCACAACATTCATATGTACCCTTAGCTTCAAACTATGTCTGATTGTCCACCTGGTTGCCGTGTGAACTTTAATATATTCTGATGACAGCTCATGCGTGAAAGTGCGACCATTGTTTTGCCTCGCAAATCTTTTAAGCGTGACTAAAACGCCCACAGCTTATGAAAAATGTGAACAATCAGTTACTGAAACAACTGTTATCGAGCCACTGTAAAAATGCCTTATTAACAAGGCCATAAAAGGCTGAGGATCACCCTGTGTAAGGTAAACTAAAAAGTCTCCATTCTTCTATGAGCATCGAACTTTTCGTCTGAGTCAAAAATCAAAATTAAAAGGATCACAGAGCGAAGCGCAGGAAAACGCAAGTGACCTGAAAACGCGACTGGTTTTACTTTTGAATCTGATTGATTTAAGAAAGTGGCAAGAATTTTCAGAACAAATCAAAAAACCAAGTAAAGGAAGCTAAAGCAATCACAGATGACTTTCAACTGACTCCAAATAAAAAATTACTTCTTAAAACGTCTTAGAGCATGAACAGAAACACCTACGAATCATGACAAATAAGCCGTTTTATGCTAATATCAAAGGCACTTCTTCCTACGCACCTTTACCTGTTCTGCTTTCCATTCAACACCCCTCTAACAAATTTAGATGAAAATTCTTAGCGCAAACACAATCAAAAGGATATAAAAAACTACGATATAAACGCAACGAACTCTGTTATGAGGTCGTTAGTCGCTCCTTTCAAACCCGTAATTTTGGAAAAACTGGTGAGTCTCGACCTCGAAAAGCAATAAAAAAAGCAATAGCCAGTCTTTTTAGTCAAAAAGCGTCTGTCTCATAGTAGATACCTGTTATTTACAGTGGCAGCCCAAACGGAAATGAGCTGGTACAAAGACATTAATTCCTAACCTTCTTGAACTTCACCCACGCATGAGGTCTTGAATTTTCAACAAGAACCACGCAAAGTTCGTGTAAAACATTAATTACATGTGGCGACTCGCCAATGTAAAAGAAAGTATCGCATAAAACTAGGTTTAGAATCACCTATGTCGATTCATTCAAGCTGCTATGGCCTTAGTGGGTAACGCAAAAGAAGGCCAAAGAGCAAAAGGAGTCTTCAGGGCATTGGAAATGTGGACGATCTCCTCTTTCCTCGTCTCCACGCAAGGGTTGCCATGATAATGTTTAAGGTAATCCCTTAGCAAATATCATTACATAATCAACATTATCTAACGGCTGAATAGCTTCGAATTCATTTGAATTGTGATAATTTGTAACGACTTGTGTTAGAAGCTCACGAAGGAAACTGGATGCAGAGAACACCACTCTGCAATAGATATTTAAGGAGTCATGAAAACCGCCTTAAACCAGGTGTTCTTGATTTTGTGGTTAAATGCATTCGGTGCGAAATGTGAAGTCGATCAAGGTTTCGGCAACTGCATGCAATACTTTTACAAAAGAACCCCGCCAAGTCTTACTCGGAGTTTCGCTGAACCGCCCAAAAGCATCTGCCAACGGTATGACAATGCATACCACTATGCCACACTATACAGCACCAGCTTAAAGATACCTGTGTATTCAGCTTACACCCTGCCTGATCCTTGCTCGGGTTCTCCCAAGCCAGAGAGAAGGTCCACATGGTTTGTCGAGCCTCAGGTAGGTAACACATTCGACCTCGTAATTTATGAATCGGAACAAGTTAATGATTGGAATCTTAATTTATATCTCAGTTTGAAAAACCAGCCTTATTGAAATCTAGAAAAATTTGAAAATGTCTACTTCTGTAAGGTAAAGCCGAACACAGTACATTCATATTACTTAGTCATCAATCGACTGAAAATCGTGTTCCACTGAGAAAAGTACCAGTATTCCTCTTCTTGTTCGGTGGTTTCACCAACAGAGAATAAACCAATGTTCAACCAATTCAATGAAATAAAATTGGTCATATTTTATTTTCGAAAACGTTTTATGATTTTAGCCCTTTTCAGACTTTTTGTTTTTCTCTTAACAGCTTCTGGTAGCCTCTGACACCAGATCTAAGAGAAATATGGAGACAGCTTCCCACCAAACTGAACGCTACAAGACAGTACAGGCGATAAACGCAGACTACCGTAACACGGATTACGACCGGGGTCACCTCAATCCAAACTTCTACCAATGTGGAGAAGGAAGAACAGCGACTTTTACCTTGACGAACGCCGTTCCTCAAGATCCCTGCTTCAACCAGCAGTCGTGGAGGAAAATGGAAGAAGCCGCCATGGAGACAATGAGGACAAATTGTTCTTTTTCCGGCGCTAGACGTTATTTTGTGACGGGAATTGTCCAGCAGAGAATACGAATTCCAAACAGAGAACATGACCTGGAAGGAGACGTGGCTCACAGAGATTTCAATCGAGTCACCGTTCCTAGTTACCTCTGGACAGCGGTTTGCTGCGATGCTTCAAGTTCAGGCAATCGCGAGAATGGTTTCTCATTTGCTTACATCGGCAAAAATATTGCTGACTCTTACGTGGACATTCTGAGCGTGAGTGAACTGGAGGCAAGACTTATTAGTGATGACCTTGCTCATGATCGCTACCAGGCGGCCAAAATTTTTGTTGATGACTGCAATGAGAATTCAGCAAAATCAAAAACTGCACGAGCTCAAGTTGCAGTTCCTGTGAACTTACGATTGGCAAATGCAGCGAATGATTTAAGCAGGGTGGAGCAATCAACTATTCCTTTCAAGAAACGCAAAGTCCTTCAAGGGGTGGTGGGTTTAATACAAACCAACGGTGTATCTGCGAAAGGTTACTCTCTTGCTCGCATAGAGTTGGGCATAGATTTACCAAGAGAAGTTGACGTGTTGCGAGAGGCTAGAAATGCAATGTACACCAGCAGAGCTAGTTTATTGCTGTATAATGCAAAGGCGTCTCTACCGCTCCTCAATCGCGATAAACCCAAGATCGTCGCAAGTGATCACGATTCTTCCAGCTTGCACCATGTAGCTTCCAACAGACACATCAAGAACAAGAGCAAGAAAAGGGAATCATCTCGGCTGACCTATCTCAAATTTCGGCCAAGAGAGCCCAAGTTAGATGAGATCGATGACGTTAAGCGGCAACGCTCGAACGACCAAGCTACTTCACCACCAGTAGACGAGTATTTGATCGTTCCAAACCTTGCAGCAGACGAGTCTGATGTGACAATCCAAGGCAAGCGCTGCATAGATTCCACCTGTGGTTTTAACGGCAAGAAGGAAAAGTGGTGCTACACTGACTGGGCAAAATCGACGGAGGCCAAATGCTGTTTTACCCAATGTAAGTTTAATGGCGGAAAGAATCATCAGACTTGCCAAACAAATAGCACCAAGTCGACCGAGACCTCGTGTTCAATCAGATATTCTTCCATCAACGTGAAAGGCCAACGCTGTTTAGCTGAACATGAATGCGGCCTCCATGGGTACAGTTACTACTGGTGCTACATTGACTTGGACAAGAACTGGGATTATTGCTGTCAACCCTGGCACGTTTGTGGCACGTATACCTACCGTTACACATGGTGCTATACCGGCAAAACAAAAGAATCGAATTACCAATATTGCAGCTATTAGGTGCTGTTTTAAGGCTCACATCAAAATAAATGGTTGAATGAGGGAAGATGGTTCAATGCAATTCCTTTTAATCAAAATTTTATCTACAAAAGCTTGGTAATTGAGATAATAATGGCACTCTTTGCCATTCTGAGCTTAAATTCAAAAATAAAATCTTCTTGATCGTTATTCTGG